CTTTTCATTCAAATTTGGCACATACATGTACTTTATACATGTTAGGATGCATGTCCATGACAATTTGTTTCAAAATCTGGTCAAGGATGGCCGATTGACAGCCATCTGACTTTTTGGCCTTACTACTATATTTCCAAAATTTATGTACCATTTTCATTCGTATTTGGCACATACATCATACATATCAGTGTGTTTCATAATCAGATTAAAGATGGCTGTTTTTATTTTTGGCCATATTACTACTACACGGAACACATGTTTTGATGTGAATAAACAATCTGTTGTATACGTCACTTGGAACTCAAGTTTCAAGGACACGCTCGTGACAACCCCTTCACTTTAATATGACGAGCACAATAACTTTCAAATATTTAACGGGGACTGTGTAATTTTCAATGACTTGGTCATTTATTCCTTCATCTGCATTATTTTTTCTTCCCATACTTTCAGCGTGGACAGTTAGAAAATCCTAATCCTGGCTTAGTGTTGGACCACTCTGTTACCAGATTAGATTGGTATGATTATTTCCTGGTGAGTCAGCATGTACGCCAGGGTACTGTGTCACCAACTCACTATGTGGTAGTGTATGATGGATCAGCATTAAAACCAGATCATATGCAAAGGTAAGCCTTCAGTTCTCAAATCATGTATTAGCAATATACAGTGTTCTCCCAAGCATTCTGTTTGCAGGGAAATGTGCATGTGTAATGTGGCGTGTGGTATGTGAAGATTACAATCTTTTATTAGGAAATGCAACTTTTGTCATTTTTGCAGCATTATATTATAATTATTCTGCTGAGTTATAATGGAAAAAAAATTATTGGTGATATTTGTTACTACATGAGGTGGGGGAGGAGGACCCAAATTTTCAAAGGGTGAATGTCCTATGGACACCGATAATTCATGTTTTAGGATTTAATATTCTGTATAGAATACTGTTTTCATGCCAAACCACTTTTCTAGAGTGAATCTTTTGTTCTGCAACGAGTTGTGCAAGAATTATTGGCAGGGATTGAAATAGAATTTTTTCCCTGCATGCACAGTGTGCATGTTGAATTTGAAATTTACCTGCACTAACATGTTGTGAAATGCACCACATTTAAAGTTTAAATAACATTTACGGTTGATGATTGATTTTTTAGTTGTCTTACAATGTTGGTTGAACTTAATTTAGGAATATAATGAATGTAATGAGAAAATGTGTTAATTTCTACATGCACAGCGTGCACATTATATTTTGAGTTTACTTGCACTAGCTAATAATCTATGTGCATAGTGCAGTGTGCACCAGAGTATTTCGACCCCTGATTGGGGAGGACTAACAATTTTCAATGAGGCAATGTGCTATGGACACAGATGATTCACATTTTAGGATTTAATATTCTGTATAGAATACTGTTTTCATGCCAAACCACTAGAGTGAACCTTTTGTTCTGCAGTGGGTTATGCAAGAACCCAGATGTGTGGGATTTGTAGACAAAAGTTAAAATAGCACTTGGGGACGACGTCAAAAGATCAATGTCATATAAAAAACTTAATTCCTTTAGTTTTTTCCAAACCCCCCACTGAAACTTAATTGATAAATATTGGTCATGGCGTCAGACTACATTCACCTTTAAATACAAATTGATAATCGGACAGTAGTATTGCATAGCAGTTGGCTGTCGGATGGGTGTAAAAAGATTTTACAAATGCACCTCATTTGACGCACAGAATTACACTCAAACCAAACCATTGTTCAGTTTTTTCCCTTTTCGGTTATTTCTGTCCATGATTGGATAACAAAAAAACGAACTACAAATACTCCAAGATTTTTTTGACTTCATTAAAAAATAAAATCGTTTTTGTCGGATGGAAACTTTTTGAGGTCAAAACCCCCCACCCCCAAACTAAAGGAAATAAGTTTTTTATCCGACATCGATCTTTTGACATCGTCC